GGAAGGCTCCGGCCCTGAAGGCTGCGGCGCCGAGCCCCGGGCGGGCGGCGGGCTCGGCCTCAGGGCCCAGGAGGAACTGCTGCTGCTCTTCACCATGGCCTCGTTGCACCCGGCTTTCTCCTTCCACCAGCGGGTCACCCTGAGGGAGCATCTGGAGCGGCTCCGCACGGCGCTCCGCGGGGGCCCGGAGGACGCGGAGGTGGAGCCGTGCAACTTTGCCGGCTCTAGGGCCCAGGTAAGGCGCACGGAACCCCCGGGTCTTGTGGGTCACCGCCCCGGCGACCTCCTGGCCAGGCTCTTGGACGCCCTTTGAGCGAGCGCCTGGCCGGCGCAGGTGGCTCGGAATGCCCAGCCCGGGAGTACTCGCCTTCGCTTGCCAGGGCCGCCAGGGTCCACTCCTCCCCCCACTCCCCCCACCACCACCACCCCGTGCACACACAGCCACCCGCCATGACAGAATGCTCTAGAAGTCTCTTCCATGCCGGAGTTGCCACGGAAGATGCGGAGCTCTCAGTCCGGGGCCCCTGTCGCATGAGGGGTCTTGGGACATTTTTGGCTGTGAGCATCTCTGAGCGCTAGAGGCGCCGCTGGCCCCAGCCTGTGCCTTCCCCTTCTGGCCGACCCGCGCTGGGCTGGCGTGCCTGCCCTGCCCCGCCAGGAGACGTTGGAAGGTACGCTCCCGGCGTGCTGCCCTGGGCTTTAGCACAAAGGGACTTTTAGTTCAGTGTGCCTGCGTTAAAAGGAGTCCTGTGGGTCTTTCAGTTCTCGCTGGAGAACTTGGTGTTCCCCAAGGAAGTCTGATAAGGAGTCCTGCGAGTCGACCGAGATAAGTAGTAAGGCAGGTGGTGTGGGTGAAGAAACCTCTCCTAGGGCGGCCTGGTTATGCCCCTTGTCTCTGGCATACCCAGCTTTCTAACGGGCTTGATGTGTGTCCCGAGGATATTTGGGGGTCTTTACTGTAGGCGTTGATGTTTGAAGAGTTACTTAAACACCAAAATGTAGTAGACTGGAATCCGGATGAGCCACTTGTCGCAAACATTAAAGAGGAATGTTTATAGAGCCCTGCGAGCAGCTTAATCATCACCGAGGCCCAGTAAAGTCCCTGAGCGTGACAGTTAATAAATGAGAGGGGAGTAGGTTTTAGAGTGAAAACTGCCTACAGTAAGAGCTTTGTTTTCGTGGGTCAGTCTTTTGAAAGGCATTTGGGTGCCATGCTTTCCAACTTAGGTGATCCCCGAGTTCATAGAACAAGGGACTCTCCCTCTTCCTTCCTGAAAGTTAATATGACACTTATCTGCCGTCATTCAATATCTTGGAACTAAAGTTGGGCATTGTATTTCTCTAATGGCTGTGTGGACCCAGGGACCGAATCAAGGCATTTAAAAGGCTGAGCCCCAGTGTTTTTTAGCATGAGCATCCATGAAATGACTAAGTCATGTTTTAGGATATATTTCATCAAATGTAGATGTAGTAAAGCTAGTAGCCCTCATTTTCCGGGTGAGGTTGACATTTTCCCATCCTCCAGTGCTGCGTGCTGCTGGCAGGCCTATGTGCGGTGCTGGTGGTGAAAGCCTTTCCACCCTTCAGCCTACTCACTGGAATATTTCCCGAAGTCCCATGTACCACACAGACACTGAATTAAGAGGAGAAGACATGCATTCAAGAACAATGCTTACGATTTTTTTAAAAGTGATTGCAGTATATTTGTTCTTACTACACATTTGTAAGATAACCTTAAATTGTCGACTAACGTACATGTCCCACAGTGGAACAGCATGTATCATTCCATTCGTGGCATTCCAACCAGAGCTCCTGATTTTTTATAGTAACTGCAAGGAGTCTTTTCCTTACATTTTTGCCCTTTAAATTTTGCTTTTAATATGAGTGTTAGAAGGCAATTAAGACAGACAGATGCGTGTAAACCAGAATGAGATTTTCATCTTGACTGCAGTGCGTGGCCTTTTCTGGCAACCAGTGGGTGCTGGGAGGAGTGGACAGAGTGAGGTTGGGCATCCTGCCATTAATTTCACCACATCGTTACTTCTCAGAAAGGGCCCTGTGCTGTGGCCATCAGCCCAAGTGGGGGAATAAATTGGGGGGCACATTTACTAAAGGTGACACCGAAGGCTATTTCTAGGCACTTGGTGGTGTGAACTTTTTTCTCCAGTAGTTGTCTAGAGTTACCCTAGCGAATCATGTATGTCTCACTGAATTGTTAGGACCCGCACTTTCTGCTTGTTGCATGTCCTCCTTGTCCTGCAGCTGTGGCTTGTCCTGGCATCGAAGACATTTTAGTGGATCTTGTTGAGCGCAGGCTGTCACTCCGGAGGCTGCTGCTGCGGGTGGGCTGATTTAAGTCCTGATTCCCTGCAGTCCAGCCCAGCCGGTCCTCGCCCTTCCGCCGCCGCCCCGCCCCCGGGAGGGGGAG